AAAAAGTGACAAAATTGATTATGACTAGGGTCGCCCCTAGTACAAAATTGAAAATGTATTTCCTACTTGGTTCTTTACTCAAAAAAATTTTAGGATATTTTATTTGTATTTGTTTTAAGCACTGAAATATTTACGCAAAGTTTCAATCCATTTGGATAAACCCTCGAAGAAAAAAGTGACAAAATTGATTATGACTAGGGTCGCCCCTAGTCCAAAATTGAAAATGTATTTTCTTCTTGGTTCTTTGCTCAAAAAATTTTAGGATGTTTTATCTGTATTTGTTTTAAGCATTTGAATATTTATGCAAAGTTTCAATCCATTTGGATAAACCCTCGAAGAAAAAAGTGACAAAATTGATTTTGACTTGGGTCGCCCCTAGTACAAAATTGAAAATGTATTTCCTAATTGGTTCTTTGCTCAAAAAAATTTTAGGATGTTTTATTTGTATTTGTTTTAAGCATTAAAATATTTATGCAAAGTTTCAATGCATTTGGATAAACCCTCGAAGAAAAAAGTGACAAAATTGATTATGACTAGGGTCGCCCCTAGTACAAAATTGAAAATGTATTTCCTACTTGGTTCTTTACTCAAAAAAATTTTAGGATATTTAATTTGTATTTGTTTTAAGCACTAGAATATTTATGCAAAGTTTCAATCCATTTGGATAAACCCTCGAAGAAAAAAGTGACAAAATTGATTTTGACTTGGGTCGCCCCTAGTACAAAATTGAAAATGTATTTCCTACTTGGTTCTTTGCTCAACAAAATTTTAGGATGTTTTATTTGTATTTGTTTTAAGCATTAGAATATTTATGCAAAGTTTCAATGCATTTGGATAAACCCTCGAAGAAAAAAGTGACAAAATTGATTATGACTAGGGTCGCCCCTAGTCCAAAATTGAAAATGTATTTTCTACTTGGTTCTTTGCTCAAAAAAATTTTAGGATATTTTATTTGTATTTGGTTTAAGCACTTGAATATTTATGCAAAGTTTCAATTCATTTGGATAAACCCTCGAAGAAAAAAGTGACAAAATTGATTATGATTAGGGTCGCCCCTAGTACAAAATTGAAAATGTATTTCCTACTTGGTTCTTTGCTCAAAAAAATCTTAGGATGTTTTATTTGTATTTTTTTAAGCACTTAAATATTTATGCAAAGTTTCAATCTAATTGGATAAACCCTCGAAGAAAAAAGTGACAAAATTGATTTTGACTAGGGTCGCCCCTAGTACAAAATTGAAAATGTATTTCCTACTTGGTTCTTTGCTCAAAAAAATTTTAGGATGTTTTATTTGTATTTGTTTTAAGCATTAGAATATTTATGCAAAGTTTCAATGCATTTGGATAAACCCTCGAAGAAAAAAGTGACAAAATTGATTATGACTAGGGTCGCCCTTAGTCCAAAATTGAAAATGTATTTCCTACTTGGTTCTTTGCTCAAAAAAATTTTAAGATGTTTTATTTGTATTTGTTTTAAGCACTCGAATATTTATGCAAAGTTTCAATTCATTTGGATAAACCCTCGAAGAAAAAAGTGACAAAATTGATTATGACTAGGGTCGCCCCTAGTACAAAATTGAAAATGTATTTCCTACTTGGTTCTTTGCTCAAAAAAATCTTAGGATGTTTTATTTGTATTTTTTTAAGCACTTAAATATTTATGCAAAGTTTCAATCTAATTGGATAAACCCTCGAAGAAAAAAGTGACAAAATTGATTATGACTAGGGTCGCCCCTAGTACAAAATTGAAAATGTATTTCCTACTTGGTTCTTTGCTCAAAAAAATCTTAGGATGTTTTATTTGTATTTTTTTAAGCACTTAAATATTTATGCAAAGTTTCAATCCATTTGGATAAACCCTCGAAGAAAAAAGTGACAAAATTGATTTTGACTAGGGTCGCCCTTAGTCCAAAATTGAAAATGTATTTCTACTTGGATCTTTGGTCAAAAAATTTTTTTGGATGTTTTATTTGAATTGACATAATTCTGACATAAATCACATACCAATATTACTTTTTGTAATGCATAACTTAAAAAAAATCTAAATCTAAAATTTCGACCACCCAATCTGAATTTTGTTCATGCTCTTCACTGTTGAAACCAAAAAACAAATTCTTTATCTTAAAACACTTGACAAAATAGCGACATAATTCAGGATTAATTACTTTTTAATAATATTTTAACATTTACGTGAAAATGTGGTTCAAATAAGTGTGAAGTATGGCCAAGATTTGAACCAAAATCAGCTATACTGGTTCATAGTGTTCCCGAGAATGACAAAATTCAAACTAAGTGTTTTTGTAGCTGACATAATTATGACATAAATTAGGTATATCTTTTGAACTGTGTCGATATGGGTCTCGGGTGTACTTCACGCCCACCCTTCAAACTTATGCTGAGCAAATCTTGGTCTATCTATAAGACTTTTGATGGTACGGTGTGAATATATCCGCATGGGGTTCTACCCGATACACTAGTTTTTATACTTTTTGTTCAAATACAAAATAACCTAATAAGCTTTGAAGCTGAGGATAATTTCCTCAGTCATTATTCTTTTCATATTTTAATCCTTTCATTCATTCATTCATTTATACACTTTTCTGCTTTGAATTGTGCAGAATTATGACAATTTTATTATTTTTGCTTTATAGTGCTGTTCCAACATAACAGGTTAAGCTTATTTTAAGCTACAGAAACTGCAATTTATTATGCTTGAAAGTTTAATCATTTTTATATATATAAACTGCTGTAAATCTAGTTTGAATAACTTTTTATGGTGGCTTAGCATGTGTTTGAAAAAAATATTTTTTCCTATGCGTTATGAACTTTTTCAGGCAGAATTTTTGGTCCAAAACGCAATGGTCTGAATGCATGCTTTTAATTGGAATAAAATTGAATTGATTTACAAAATCAGAATAACAAAGTTTGATTAACCGACACAAAATTTGTCAGATTCTGTATTTTGGGGAAACAGAGTCGACACTTCATTTGCCAGCTATACACTTACCTTATCTATTGTTACATCAGTTCACTTCTTCTCAGAACTTATTGAATTAATAATCACAATTTTTGATGCCAATGAAAATTTCATTCCAAACGACTTGATACAGCCAATAATAAAATCAACCTGTCTGCATGTGTGCTTTTATGGCTTCTATTGTTTGCATTAAACACTGAATTAAGTCTCTTGAAATTTATGGTGTCATCTCACCAATATTAAACAGATTATTCTTTTAATTATGTTGAAAAACAATTAAATTGAATCAAAGATGACATGATAAATTTTGTGACGAATAGCCACAGGTTTGGTTGATAAATTTATAATCGGCTTATACTTTTTTGTTCAAGTCTATTTGAATTTATTGATATTGATTGTAGTTTAACATGAATCATTCAGTTTTGATCACTGATTATAAGTTTAATAGAATTGTAATTCACTGGGATTTTCGATCATTTCATCAGTACGACACCCTTGATCATTAAGACATCATTTTTGAATGACCCAAAATCCTGTAATGTTATCACAAACTTAGCTCACTTTAGTAAATTTACGAGAATATTATCACAGCATGAAATTTTAATTAAATCACCTTTTGTTATCATAAAAACTGGGGTTCAAAGGATTATAAGCTCTATATCAATTTTCACTTTAAAACCATTCCATGTGACATTTAATTTCGATTTCATGATATTTACATAATGTTACACATATGATATGATTGAATTAAAATCCCATTAGTATGGTGTAATTAAGTTTTTAATGTTCTCATTTCTCTCTCTTCTTCTTTTTTTTTGTCTTCCATTAAGGTTTCATTAACGGTCTGGTTAGTAGCACGTTTCAGTGAATGGAGCATTGCTTCAAAGTGCAATTCCAATTCTGGTTTATATGAGAATAATTTTACAATTTCCAACAGGTACATTCTTTACATCCCATAAAAAAAGAACTTTTTCATATCATATCTTCAGGAACATTTTGCAACCCATAAAAAATATTTTTTTTTTCATTCATTGTGAATTTTAATCTCTCATATACACTCCTATTCATACTCTATATAATATTGTTTCATTTTAATCTACATGCTTGCTGTTTATGTATTTAATAACATAGCTTTTGGTTCGTAATTGGGACTTTAATGCAGCAAGGTTCTGATCTTAATCCAAAGGTGAGTATTTTAGAATTTATGATAGGAGAAAAATGTTCATGCTATTTTGTAGACTACTATTTGTACCATAAAACTTTTCAATAGATACCTTAGTTAATGGAAAAAGCTTAAAGTTTTCAATTCAATTGAATTTTTCCTTCCTTTCCTTTTTTGTGTGTCTGAAATCGTACGTACATTGATTGGAAACTTTTTCTTTGGTTTTATTCCTTTTATCACACTAAAAAAAAGCTTGAATAAGGGAGGAAGTTGTGAACTTCTATGCTTTGTTTCCTAATGAAAAGAAATGGCAAAATTATTGCCACATCTTCAAGTTTAGTCTTCAAACTTTTACTATACTTGATGCTCGTTGATGAAAAGTTAAGCTTATGTAATGTGGTGAGCATTGTTGTCAATATTGCAAAATTCTCACACAATCCGTTCTGCTGCTTAACTAATTAGCTACAGAAGCCTTATCCTCACTAGGCAGATATGCCTACATATGGCTCGAATCAAATGTTTCAAGGCTATTATTAAGTTGACTAGTGTGGATTGACTGGACTAAAGCAATCGTCTTTGAAAACATTTCTTACTATGGCAATTGAGAGATGACGCAAATCACTGTGCTTGACAACAAGAAACAATGACAGCAGCTCTATTGAATGTCCAAAACAAATTCTTTTTTCTTACAACTTTTTCTTGAGGGTGGAAGTAAGAAGTCTAATTTTCACAGCGTGGGAGTTGCTAGTAAATTAATCTTATCCTCTTTTTATGTCTGTGCTTTAGATAATGTAATAAAAAGTAGCATGTATAAAAGTTAAAAATGAGAATCAATTTGTAAGTGAAAATTGAAATTTTATAGGCAACATCAACACGAATAGTAGGATGTTCATGGTGGTTTTTCAGCTTAATCATTATATCATCTTACACGGCAAATTTGGCAGCATTTTTGACTGTTGAGAGAATGATAACACCAATTGAGAATGCTGAGGATTTAGCTGGACAAACAGAAATCAGTTACGGTACACTTGAGAGTGGAAGTACAATGACATTCTTTAGGGTAATTGGATTGTTGATGAAAAATTATTGTGATTGGGTGGATGATGATGACACTTTAAAATTTATTCGTGCTTTATTTTGGCAAATTTGAATAGAATATAATAACAAAGTGTTCAATTTCCCACCCTTCATAAAGAATGCTTATCTGCTTCTTAATTTTTATTCATGTCTTTGTTATCTTTCTTTTCCTTAACATGCCTTATTTCATCCTCTATCTCATCCGCATGCATAAATAAATAAATATAACAATATGCCACATATGACTATATATGCATATGTCTGCTTTCTTAAACGTACGACTCTAGGATTCCATGATAGAAACTTACAAGAAAATGTGGAGATTTATGGAAGTATATATCGAATTAAATCTTGTGTAATGCATTAATGTTCTTATATCACAAAAACATCCAACATCGCCTTTTTTCTATCTTTTTTATGCTTACTACAACTGACATTTCTTCTTCTACTGCCACTGATGCTGATGCTATTACGAAATGGATACAAAAAATTATACAAATATGTAGAATAAAAAGCCATCAGTTTTTGTACATACATACGAAGAAGGAATTAGGCGAGTGCTTGAGGGAAATTACGCATTTCTAATGGAAAGCACGATGCTCGACTACGAGAGACAAAGGGATTGTAATTTAACACAAATTGGCGGTAAATATTAATAGATAATGTCTCACTTACACTTAGACTTTTTCTACATCATCTCTTCTTACGATGTTAAATTGACTATAACTTGACGCCTTCATGGGACAAGGAAGAATAATATATTTATAATGTTGTGATACTTAAGGATTTATTTTTCTTTTTTCTCTTCCTTTTTCTCACTTCTTATGTCTATCTATTACATGATATGCATTGACAAACAGGATTACTTGACACAAAAGGTGATTTTCATATCTTTCTTTTTGCACAAAAAAAAATAAATCCATCCTCTCGTCTTCCTTTTCGCGCGTTTTTGTTGAAGATTGAGAGATTGACATAATTTTGTCTAGTTCTTATGCTGGATGGAATCGATTTGGGGAGCATTTTTGGTTGTTGACCTTTATGATGTGATTAGAAATTTTTTAAGAGGAACCGGAGAAAATAAACAAACCTGCTGCAACTTCCTAGTATGCTCTGATATATTTCCTTCCGAATGAAACCGCTCTAAATAACAATCCCAATGTACATTGGTGTCAATCCTCAATAATCATAAAAAATGCGCTTAATCCCTTCATAAAACCCATCAAAGACTATCTAAAGTCTCTTCTTCCTTCCGCAAGTTTTCCCATCATCAGCTTACCAAAATTCATCCTTTTGATTTCCCATTCAATTTCTTTCCTATCATTCATGTACTACAAGTGCTAATCAAAATTGAATTGTTTAGGTTATGGCATTGCTTTACCGAAAGGCTCAATTTGGAGAGATAAAATATCTTTAGCAATTCTCGAATTACAAGAAAAGGGGGAGATTCAAATGCTGTACGATAAATGGTGGAAGAAAACAGAAGAAACTTGTATAAGAGACGAGAAGCAGAAGGAAACGACAAAAGCAAATTCTTTGGTTTGTAATAATTTTCATTTTCATTTCTGTTTCCCTTTCATGCCTCTTTCTCACTCGCTCATTTTTGAAAAAATGCTATTTCTATAAGCACCAAGCAATACTATCTTATATTTTTATTATTATTAAAATAAAAAAAGAGACAAAAACGAGGAGAGTGAGAAAAAAAATTGTTGAAAGCGAATTCAAGCATTAGAATAATCTAATAATGATGTAATGAGATGAGGGGGAGGCAGGAGAGACAAGAAAAATCTCTGCTGATGCTTGGATTTGTTTTAATGGTGCCAAAATTCTTGAAGCAAAAAATGAGTTTGAATGTCATTGTTTGATGGAGGATATGAGCGTTTTTGAAGAACTTGAATGTAATTTTTTCTGTTTTCTTATTTAAAAATTTTTTAAAATTTTATTTTAAATTTATAGAAATTTCGAAATTTCATAATACAGACATACAGACAAAACCATTACATTCAATACTCATGTCAAAAACGGCACCAACAAAATAGAAAATGAAAGGAAAAATCCTTCTTGCTGCCTATCATCCACTTCTTATCTCTCTTATATTTTTGGATATTCTTATAAAATTTATATATTTAGGCGCTGAACAACATTGGTGGTGTTTTCGTGGTATTACTATGCGGCTTAGCGTTTGCTGTTCTCGTCGCCATCATCGAGTTTTGTTATAAATCAAGAAAAGAAAACTTTAATGATCCATTGAATTTATTACATTCAAAGAGCTCATTGTGTGCTGAATTAAGAGAGGAATTATGCTTTTCATTAAACTGTCGTAATGCAAACCATCAGCGGCAAGCATTTAAGCGACATAATGTATGTCATGAGTGTCAAGCATCGAAAAATTTATATTTACAGACTAAATCTCAACAGACAAACATGATAAATGATGTTATCTAATGAAAATGTTTACATTTCGAAATTACAAAATAATAACAATAAAATACTCTCACATTATTAGATTAAACAGTTTCTGAAGCTTCAAATGTAGTTAACGAAATTCTTAGGAAATGTAGGGGGAAATGAACTTGGAGGGAGAGATCGATTTATTATAAAATCAGAAAATGTTTCTTAGAATCAGTGACGTCGCCAGAGCTTTAAAGGAGATTAAAATATCTAGTCAAAAATCTGACAAAAATCTGCAAAAATCAAATAAATTAAAAAAAGATTTGATAAGCAAAATCTATATATTTTTCAATAATGCCCGTAAAAGTCACTCACAAGTTTTGTGACCTTGAGTTCAAAATGAGTTTTTGAATCGTTTTTGGTCACGTTTTTTATGCAGAAAAAATATATTTTGTAAATGAAAAAAATATATTTTGTTAAAATTAATTTACCTATCAATTAAATTATCCACACCGAACGTGGTGTGTGAGTGATGTTCTGTCATAAAAATAATCAACCCTAAGTATAAGAATAGCCACAAATAGTTCAATCAAGGACCTCTCAAAAAATCACATTAAATTTTTAAAACTAAGTTTTCCAGGAGCTTTAATTTGCTACAAATCCAATCATGTCTTATTGGAATCTATAATTAATATGAACCAGATTATAGCGAAAAAGATAATCTTGAAATCACACCCCAAAGAAAATTCTGGCTACATCCTTGACCCGTCAGCCATAGCTTTTTTCCATGAATTTCTAGAATAGCTAATGCCCTTAATAATAATAATAATAACAGCAATATTTTCATGTTTATAAAGCAAAAACATTCTTAGAAAATTTATTGATACCTAAATAATGATAATAAGAAGCTTAAAACATTTCTAAGAAAACATCTCTCAATAGAATATATCGTTCAATTTTCTGAAATGGAAATTAATTCAAATTTTGTTTTTTTTTTTCGATTCAAAAATTTCTCAATAAAAGAATTTTTTAGAAGATTTTAAAGAAATTTTACGAATATATTCCTAGAAATTTGCCTCTAACCAAGAAGTTTTCCCCCTTCCAGAAAAAAAATAACAAGAAAAGGAAGAAATTATGATGATGAAAATTTATCATGTTCGCTCATTATTAAATTTAAAAAAAATTATAAAACGTAGAGATGCCTTTTTGCCTTGTTAGTCCAAAAAAAGGGTTATATTCTATAATTTAGATAGCGTCTATACTTTTATTAGCTAAGAAAAAATAATGATAATAAGATGGGAGAAAAAAATATAACATGTATACATTTATAGTAGAGTTAAAAAATGATATATTTAATCGTTGAAGCAATGTTGTTGTGACTTATGATATCTTTTAGAGAAAATGAAAATTTGTGAAAGATAAAATAAAAAAAAAAGTTTTCATTCTCTTTTACCGAGAAAAAATATTTGTATGTGCCAAGAAAAGTTTTTTTCTCTCCTATTTTCATTTCTTTCTCTTTTAAATAACTGATGTGTATTTAGATAATGTTTGAAAATGTTTATGTGACAAGTCTTATGGTCCAATAAAGAGTAGATTCCTTTTTTTATTTGAATTTTTTTTTCTCTTTCTTGTCTGATGACGACGACGATCAAGGAGCATGAAACCTGAAATAATTTCCCTAATTTAATTAGAAAATTCTCGTTCTAATTAATTTTATCACTGCCATACATAAACAGAACAAAAAGATTTTCTTTCCTCCTCGTTTAATTGCATTAAATTTGCAATATTTATCACTTTATATTGTTTTGTCTCACTCCATGAAAATGATTATGTTTAATAACAAACAAAACAATCTTGCAGCTGATTATTTATGTGGGTTTTGTTGTTTAATGGCATGCCGAGAGGTGTTATTCTTTAAATTGAATTTTTTTTGTTGCAGAAACCGTTTTAGACGAGTAATCGATAACATACCTTGATCGACTGACATTGAAATTGATTAAACTGGGTCAAAGCCAAGAATTTGAAGAAGGGAAAACAAAAAAAAAATTTTGTATGAAAATTTTTGAGGGGGGGGGGGGGGGGGTGTTGTGAATTTTTAAAATGAATAAATTTCTGCTGACGAATTGGGATTTGTTTTCCAACCTTTCTCCCTTCTCCCTTTTCTCCCTGGCTACGCAACTGTCACAAAAATCACATAAATATTCCAACCTTCTTCTACTTTCTCCTCACAACAAATTAATATTCAGACCTTATAATTAAATGATTCTTTGCAAAAAAAACTAAAAAATCTTTGAAATCTATCAATGACTCACATTTAAATCAAGGAACCCTGCAAGCTTACGCAAAGCTTTCAGAAAAACATCTCAAAATAATAACATCGTAATTATTTATGTGAAATACCATTTTAAAATTCATCGCAAGTTGAACCAGCAAGCACTTCAGACGACATCTTACTAAAATAACATCCAACTTTAACATCCAGACGCAAGAATTTGAATTCCTTACAGCATTTAAACCCCACTTGACATTATAGTAAAAGAAGGATAAAGCAATGATCTTCTGAACTGTAATTAATCTATTAGGATTTATGTTCATCCTGATAAATTTAACAGAAATAAAACTTTATATTAATTGATTTGAAATTAAAACTCATTGACCTATGAGCATTAATCTCTCGACATTTTACATTTTAGTGCAGACTTTACAACGAGGAAAACGGGAAATTATTTTAATGTCAAGAGAAAATTAAATTTACAGGTAGGAAATTCTGATGATGGTTTTACTTCTTTTACTAAATTAGACAAGAGTGCCGAAAAATATTCAGTTTCAGATTTTCTTATTATTTCAGTCGTCTACATAATTAATTAATGTAGACCAAAAATTAATAAAACTAGGTACTTACCAACTGTGTTAATAAACATAATTCTATGTGTCTATGATGAGAATCTTTTAAGGACAATAGATAAGAATGATAATACCATTAGTGCTAAATATATATCTACTCCAAAAAAAAAAGAGAAAACGTTTTAATTAGAAGTGTCATTGAAACAATGTCCTTGAATTAATCCCAAGTGTTGTTTCGCATAACAAAGTTCGTCATTAAAAAGAAGTGCCAGTTGATTGCACTTTCCTTTAATGTGTCTTTTCATTTTCATTTATTTCTTGTTGTTTTCCCTCTCTTTCTTCATTCTTCCCATCCTGTTTGTCGCTTTGTAGTCGCGTACTTTCTTGAATGAAGAGGGGTTGATGTCTTCATTTTGGTTGGATGTCTCTTGATTGAATTTTTTTTGTGGGGATTTATTGAAGACGTTTATTGTTTTGACTTTTATAATTTAGGGGAGCAGTAAGTCCAACATTTTGCGACATATTTAATAGTCACTATAGATTGTCAAACCACCCCAAAAGTCATGCAGCTTAACTTTTCAGTAAAAAGGAAAAATACGCTAAAATCATCGCCTTTTTGGTGAATTCCTATACAATTTTTCCATCATCTTTGCCTCGTTTATTCATTTCATGTATTGTCGTGGTGGATGATGATATTCCTCGCACACAAAATTGGTTATTAAATTTCACTTTCAACGCTTTCACATGATATGATATTCTTGACATGGTATCATAATATAACATCACTTGATGACGATACATGGAGATAACAACATCTAGCAGCATGACAATCTCGTTTCTTTAACGGTTTTTGTGTGTATATGATAGGGTTTGAGGCTTTTCCTTCATATTGTAATAGATATACATAGATATACAGAGATACAAACGTTATATATGATGATAAAGACATAGAACGCCAGATATTGAGAAGCTGAGCGTCATTTATGACATTTTATAAGAATATAAATCCGAATTATTGTCTCAATGACTTTTCACTCACTCGTTGCCTCAATATGAATATTATGGACCAACATGTACAACAAAGCTCATTCTAATTTGAACAAGCGAGCAGTGGGTGTCAAGAGTGACCCAAGAGGACTTATGAAAAAATATCACGATCAAACATAAAACATTTTTCTGCCATACGGTTACGGCCGATGCTCCTTTTTTTATTTTATTTTATTTGAGTTTTATATTTTTCATATTCACACAAAATTTTCAATTTTTGTGAATATATTGTTTTTGGTTTTTCGGAAAATCAGTTTTTTTAACTTTCTGCTTCAGGCTTACGAAATCAACCCAAATACCTGATATGTAAAAGTTTGTGCCTCGAAATACCTATCTAATGGTGAAAACAATTTTTCATTTGGCAGTTCCAGTTCCAAAAACTCGCAAAAAAGGGCATTCTGTTAGTTAGTTAGTTAATCGGTGCGATAACTCGCTTCAAACTTAATATTAAGACTTCCGGTTTTTTGCTTCTGATAGATAAAGGCTACCGCAAGAACTGTATTGTTTTTGGAGTCATAAGATGCTTCCAGTGAGGCACAAGATGCATAAACATATTTGTATGGGAAAAGTTTAACCGATTATTACATAACATATTTATTTTTTGTTTACAACGGAAATATTTGTTGGTATTAGTGTGATATTAATAAAATGGTTGTGACAGTATGCATTAAGTTAAATGTATGTGAAAAAATGTTGGAACTAGCAAGTTCCTTTACAAGATTCAGCATACTGTATCTATGTTATTAAATACAAACTTTATTTGTATCATAATGAAAATATTTTTTTTTTTGTTTAATTCTTAATTTTTTTCCTACTCGATTATTTTGTTTTTGTTTCAAACAGGCTTATACTTACTGAATCTTATTTCCAACGACAGCACAATTTCAATTTTACTTTCACAATGTCTGTGAAAGTGTGTTAAATACTTGTTAAATGATTGAATTAATTTTCCACAATGATTTTTCACTTTCAACAAATTTTCAAAGTTCACTACGAACTTTTTCTTATCTTAATTATAAAATTGATTGAAATTGTAATTGTCAAAGCCTACTTAGATCTTTTTCTTATTTCTTAATTATAAAAAAAATTCAAATTGAAATTGTCAAAGCCCACTTGTACTTTTTCTCAAACTTTACTGGATCTTGATTTTAAGTTTCAGACATGCTTAAAACTTTACTGGATCTTGATTTTAAGTTTCAGACA